ATTATATAATTTCTATATTGTTTTATTCTTTAACTTTCTCATTTAAAAATTTTCAGGCTAAATATGTTATTATACAATGTATTTGGTTTTATAAAGAGTCATAGGCCTAAGAATATTGGCTTTGAATAGTCAGTTTCATTTACAAATTGATAGTTCTTCAAGGAGTTTTAACCTCAAGGATCTGTCTCTGCCTCAGGGAGTTAGCAAGAAAGCAGAGAATTATATAACAACAAGGCCATTGGGTTCTATCGGTGTGGAGCTGTTAGCATCTGAGAAGTCTAAAGCTCCATCTCCATTCTAACAACACAGTCACTTGGAAAGTGCAAACATTTAGTTGGTCTATACTTTTAAAAAAATCTATTTAAAAAGAATCTTTACTATGACAAACTAGTTTGATTGACTTTTTAACCAAACTGAACAGTCACACTAGTTAAAACACTTGAGATTCTTTGTGTGTTCAAAAACATAGCCTAGGAGGGTATATTTTAGTCACTTCTCCACTCAGTGAGCATTTCAGAGTGTGCCTTCTGTGTCAAACCTTTAACGGGTGCGGGGAATACAGAGGTGTGTGTAAGACAAGCTCCTGTCTCCAACTGGCTTTCAGTTATAGAGACCTAAAAACTCAAACAAACTGAAACCAAGACAGTTACATCACAGGACAAGAAATGCTCAGATGGTGCTATAGGATCTAGAAGCAGAGCTTCTAGACTGAGTAAGGGATCCAGTGAGGAAGTCTTTCCTTAAGAAAGGACCAGAAAAGGGTATTAGAGACATGGAATCATGGTTAGAGAGGTATATGAGTGGGGCATGCAGCAGCAAGTAGAGGGAGATAATCCAAAATGGATCAGTCTGCTGCTTTTTCATCTATCATTTTCATGTGTTATTTCTCATTAGTTCTAAATTCCAGTAAAAGTAAATTGCTATTTAAATGGTTTTAAAGACACTTTAAGTTCTTATGCTTGTAGGATACCTGAGAGTCTGCACAGTCATTAGACAATATAAAATACTTTATTGCACTTTTAAATACTGACATACAAGTTCATTGTAGAAAGTGGTCTATTTTTAGCCTCAAGAGGAATTTAAACCCACTTCTCTAAAAGAACTTTTAGAGATAAACACTCAAATAAAAGATTCTCTTAAACAGCTCCCGCTGTTTATAATATGATTTGATGCTCCCTTGAAATCTCCACAGAAAGTTTCAAATACATCTTGGCTCAAACTTTTTCAGACCAAGATCACTTATTTTTTCATGAGTTGGAAGATCATTTTGTTAGGTGAAACTGGTGAAGTATTGACATTTGGATGGTTAACCATTTTATTCCTCTCAACACCAAGATCACGCCAATGTGTTTTGTAATTGCAAAATCCCCCTTTAGACTAGATGATGATTTAGGGAAGGGGTAATCCTGAGAAGTTAATCTTAACAACTAGTTTGTCTAGTCGAGCATTTCTGTCTTATGTAAACAGCTCAATTTATACAAATCTCAAATGTATTTTTGAAGTATTTTGCCCATGTACTGTTAATAAGTATCTCAAGGCCATTGTTATCTTTTCCAGTCTTTTTTTCTTTTCCTTCCTAACTCTCCTTGACACTTTGTGGTGTAGCTCAGTTTATTTAGATGTTCTTCTATTGTAAACTTGGTGGGGGTGGGAGTGTTAAAGATAACTTTGGATTGTCCGTCTTTCTTTTTGTAATTCTCAAGGGATTGCTATCAAGCCCCCTCATCCATGGGATGGGATTTCTTCCTTCTAGTTCTGGGTGTTTTCCATGGTCAGCAGGAAATCAGTTGCTTTAAGACTGACATCCCCCTGGTCAAGTTGCAGGCCATCAGCTTGGATATGTGGTCACTCTTTGATCTTTTAACAATTAATTTATTCTTCGTTGCCTCTGTTGCCAGGACCACCAGGTCTGCCAGGAGGTCCCATTGGATTCTCCCTGAATATTTGGGAAACATGAGGATGGATTTTCCTGTGAGCTTCTCTTTTAGGTATAGATATTTTAACTAACATGATTGGAAAATTTCAACCCAATTGTGAACAGAACCCAGTGGTGTTAATGTTTCTCTTTGGGGGTCTACATCATGGATTCATTCCTAGCTAACCCCTTCTCTTAAAGCCATCTAATCGAGAACTATTCTGGACCAGGTAGGAAAGTGTCATTTCTGCTTTATTCTTTTTTTTTTCAATTGTGGAAAAATATACATAACATAAAATTCACCATTTTAACCATTTTTGGATGTATAGCTCAGTGGCATTTAGTACACTCACATTGTTGTGCAACCATCACCACTATCCATTTCCAGAACTCAAACTGAAACTCTGTACCCGTTAAACAATGACTCCCCATTCCTACCTCCCGCCAGCCACTAGCAACCACCATTCTACTTTCTGTCTCTCTGAATTTGACTACCAGGTACCTCATATAAGTACAATCATACAACGTTTGTCCTTTTGTGTTGCTTATTTCATTTAGCATAATGTCTTCAAATTTGTAGCATGTGTCAGATTGTCGTTCCTTTCTAAAGCTGGATAATATTCCATCGTAAGTATATACCACATTTTTTTGATCTGTTCACCCGTTGGTGGACGTTTGGGTTGCTTCCACCTTTTGGCTATTGTGAACAACGCTGCTGTGAACATTGGTGTACAAATATCTTTTTGAGTCCCTGCTTTCACTTGTTTTGGATATATACCCAAAAGTGGAATTGTTGGGTCACATGATAATTCTGTGTTTAATTTTTTGGGGAACCGTCATACTGTTTTCCACTGTAGTTCTGCTTTATTCTTGATCCCTGTCATAGCTGCGTGCCTGAGTTCGTGACTGAAGAGAGTGAGATTAGGGATAAAATTGACTGAGGGGCTTCTACTTTCTCAGGGACTTTTTTTGTTTGGGAGACTTTTTAAAAAAAAAAAAAAGTGGGGCCGGCCCCGTGGCTTAGCGGTTAAGTGCACACGCTCCACTACTGGCGGCCCGGGTTCGGATCCTGGGCGCGCACCAATGCACCGCTTCTCTGGCCATGCTGAGGCCGCGTCCCACATACAGCAACTAGAAAGATGTGCAACTACGACATACAGCTATCTACTGGTGCATTGGGGAAAAAAAAAAAGGAGGAGGATTGGCAATAGATGTTAGCTCAGAGCCGGTCTTCTTCAGCAAAAAGAGGAGGATTAGCATGGATGTTAGCTCAGGGCTGATCTTCCTCACCAAAAAAAAAAAAAAAAAAGATGAATGATGCCTGGGGAAAAAATTCTTTCACCTCGTGTTAGTGAATTCCTGAAAGAGTGAAAGTCACCCCATCAACACTGAGCCCTGGGAATTGTGGGATTTGAAATATTTGTGCCTGATGTGACAAGGGCTGCTAGGTAGTAGAATCAAACAACACATCCCCCTCCATTTCCTCCCACAGGGTTAATGAGGCATCACAAGAAACAAAAGATCCACAAATTTATCTTACTGTGGACTTCTCAGATATAATATATCCAAGTGATGAGACCCAAGTTTGGCCCTCAGATGCAATAATAAGGCCAGATTCTGGGACACAGTTCCCAGAGGCATGAGCGTGGTGAGTGAACTCACTGATACTTGCATCCCTGGAGATACCACAGAGACTGCCTCGCCCAGCTCTCCACCCCACAGTCAATGGACCTCACCCCTGTAGGTTACAGATTGCTTCCTGCCTTGCACAAAGAAAAATTAAGTACCCAGAGAACATTTTCTATCCTCTAAAACTTTGCAAATTGTTGAGTTCTGTGAGCTACTCTAATAGGACATGTGCAGTGAGACTCAAGAATAGTGTCTACCCTTAAACTACAAACCAAGTAGTTTACCTGTTAATCCATCTCAACGTATGCTTCCCTCATGTTTGGTTGCATGAGAGGAGGTCACTCCCACCCTAGGCTTGGCCATCTCACCAGCTATGTCTAACAACTTCACTCTGGGGCTTGAACTCAACTCGGTTCAGTCCTTAGGAAAAACTTTAGAAAAGCAGAATTAGAGAGGATTAGCTGAAGGCTCTGCAGTCCCTCTGTTCTTCTTAGCAACTTCTGACATTTATTTATCCCCGGATTATGCCAAACCATCAAAAAAAAGGAATTCCTGGCTGACGTGGTCCTTCCTGACCCCTTGTGGAACACCTTTTACTTTCTTACACCCAGGGCTAGCCTCCTTTGAGTAATATTGTTAACACTCAGCCCTACACAACTCCTTGTTGTACAACTGATGTTTTCATTCATCGACTATATGCACTAGGTAGTAGGTACTGTGTATGAAGCCCTACAAGAGAAATGCCTCCCCAGACTCAGTGCCAGGAACAGTTGTTCTCCTTCGAGCAATTGGCTTGTTGTGATCCTGTGCACCACATAAACCACCTATCCAGTCGTGGCTGCTAGGAAGCTCAGGGGGCAGCAGTCTGCCTCTAGCACGGGTATAAAACTCAGGCTAGATTTTGTGTGTTAACCTTAACGCTTGTCTTTAACTTATTTTGTAAGTTCTTATTTTTCTGTTTTCTCATTACCTCACTTACTTTAGATTATTGAATTATCTGAATTTTTGTAAACTATTCAAATCCTTTAAGGAATAAATCGGGGGTATAAACATGAATCAGGTATTCTTAGTTGCTTTGAGTGTTTAGAGGAAAAAATGTATATAAATTATTAGTTTTCAGATAACTGGAATATGCTCAATATAGTTGGCATTAAAACCATTATTGTTCTAAAATATGACTAAACGGTAAGTTCTGTGCTCTCAGGGGCCCTGGCTATCTTGGTCCCTCTGTATTTCCAGGTGCTAGTGCTGTGCTTGGTCTGTAGCAGATGCTCAGTTCATATTCCCTGAGATTTGAACAAACAGGATTTCTCGGCACCCAAAGTTTACTATCAGCAAGGTCTGTAGATACTCAGAAGCAAAGAGAAGCTGTGACGCTCTGGCATTTCCTTCACTTTGTCACATGTGAGGGGACACAGCTGACACTTCTAACATTCTCCTGCCTTCCTCTCTGCAGACTCACATTTCAAGACTCCCTCCCGGTGCGGTGGCAGGACAGTCCGTGGCAATCGAAGGTGGGGTTTGCCGCCTGGAGAGCCCAGTGAACTGACCCTTCAGGCTGAGCGTGAAGCGTCTGAGAGGCATTCCAGAACCTGAGCTTTTGGGGTTTTTAACTGAAGTTGGATGTTTTATCTTCCTCATTTTATAATTCCTATTGCAGCCTCGTGCACTGCTCACGACACTAGTGCTGCTGTAGTTAGTGCTTAGTGACACGCGGGCCTTTGGCGGGTGAGCGGGACTGAGTGAGTGTGTGTGTGTTTGTGTGTGTATTTGTGTGTGCAGCGCGTGTGCTTGCTTCTCCCATGATGAAACAGAAACTCCTCCTTATCATGTAACCTAAGACCAGGAATGATTAAATCATCTTTGCAAAATGTGTGCTTTAACTGTTTACAAGTGAAGCCTGAACATTGCAGGAAATATTTTTGATTTCATAAAGAGGTACCAACTGTCGTTGATGTAATGTGTGTGAACTGAAGAGTAAATCTACTTGTTTAAATGATTTGACAGTGGTAGTGCTCCATTTAATAACAGTAATAAGTAATAAAGTGTTTTTATTTGTTAACCAGTTTAAGTGGATCCTGTGGTAACTTAAACTGTTGTTCTCATCCCGCATATGGGGCATTTTTCTTTAACAAAGAATGGTTTCAGTGAAACAATCTAGCAGAGAATTAAGGTCAGAACCTTTTTAAATAATAATCTTATTGATAAAGTTTGTACTTCTTTCCTCAAGCTTTTCTAAGCTTAAGTACTGCATAGCTTGGAGCTGTATGTACTATATTATGAAAGAATATGTAAAGAGAACATACAGTAATGCACAGTCCTTAATTTGTGTATAATGGAATGTTATTTACAATGTAACACTGTAAATAAGAAAGCAAAATTTATGGGAAAATTCAATATTATCTTTGTTTCTTGTTTAAATATATTTTTAAGATAAAGGCACAAAACTAAAAGAAGCATATTACTGGGTATAGTATATGACTCCTCTTCTCAGACTAATAAATTATCTTTTGAGTCCTAGATTGGAGAGCCATTTTTTATTTTGTTTGTAAAAAGTTACTTCTTCCAGAAATCATACCTTTAACGTTCTTCCTGTGATTCTGATGGTTCAAAATCCAGTCTTATCTATGTGCAGTTAGGTTGGACACTAGCAAGATGAAAGTTGATCTTAGTACATGATTGAATGATCAATATAGAAATCCCTAAACTTTCCATTGCAATTTGATAAAAATAACAAAGGGAAGGAATAAGAATACTTTGCTTTGAAAAATTGTAGTGGCAGCTGAGAGCTCAATGGTTTCAGTTGATAAATTGCTCCTAAATATTATATTTAGTGATCCTGGAGCCACATAAGAAAACCAAGACTTTCCTTTTGATTTTATATGTAAGAAGTGGCTATCAAAAAGATACTAAATATAGACTCGCTCAGGGGGAGGAAGTTCCCTGCACCATATAATCATGGCTCTGGGCGGTAACTGATAAAGCCCCAAATGAAATTATACACTTGACATCGATGTATGGCCAAATTATAAAGGAAAGACAACCAAAATGGAGTGAGTGTAAATATGCATGATTTGGGAGTTGCTGATTTATATTCCTTGTACAAGCAATTACATTTGTCTCACTGTGTTCTCGTAGACAGGTTGGTGCCGTGGTATCTGTTTCTCATTCTTAATGAGGCTGAGAACTTAGTAAGAGATGTGCTGGCTGGTGGGGAGCCTTTGGCTTCAAAAGCTTTCAAAGACCTGTTACCTGTTGGCAGGGTCTTTTCAGGAACTGGACTGGATCATGTAAAACTATCAGGACACTTTGGAGTCTGAAAATCATCTGACCTATTTCACCAGGAATGCCATTTCTTTCATCTCCTTTTGACTTTATTCCATTCATATTTAAAAGTTTGGGCTTGTTAAAGACCCCTTTTATGAAGAGTTTAAAAGCTAGTCAGTATAAAAGAGCACAGCCCCTCCAAGAACAGTTTAAGACTTTATTCTCCAATTTCTAATTTTTTTTTTTAATTTTAGGAATATTGTGAAACCAGGCAGAAAAAAAGTGATACTCAGAATCATGGAGGCAAAAATGTAATGGGTAGTATAAGTTCTTTAATTATAAGGTCAGATGTTAAAGAACAGGTACTGGAACCAAAGGATATCGACAGATATAAAATCAATCTCATTTCACACAAAAGTAGAAAAGGTAGAAAGAAACACATAATAATCTCATTTCCTAGTAGGGCTCATATCACTTATATTCTGAAGCTATATTTTAAAATGACCACTTTGTGTGTGTGTGTGTGTGTGTGTGTGTGTGTGTGTGTGTGTGAGAGGAAGACTGGCTCTGAGCTAACATCCATTGCCAATCCTCTTTTTGCTGAGGAAGATTAGCTCTGAGCTAACATCTATGCCCATCTTCCTCTATTTTGTATATGGGATGCTGCCACGGCATGGCCTGATGAGCGGTGCATAGGTCCATGCCCGGCATCCGAACCCGTGAGCCCTGGGCTGCCAAAGCAGAGTGCGCGAACTTAACCGCTATGCCACCGGACCGGCCCCTAAAGTGCCCACTTTTAATGTGGATGATCTTAACTGTATGCCTATATTCTATTTTCTTTTTAAGGCCCAAGCATTGGATGTTTGGTTTTCTTGAGTATAGTTAAGCCTGGTCTGGAATCCTCAAGGCCATCACTGTGATCCTGCTCTGGGTTTAGAAACATGGCATCTTCCAGACTTGGGGAGGAGGCGGAGAGCATGTGTCCTGCCTTAAGGAACCTGGAGCACCTGTGCTGACTGACACATATGGGAGCCTTGTCTAGGCTTTGTCCTCCTCCTTGTCAGCCCTGCACTTCTGCCTGCCTCCTGTGTGTCTGCCTATGACAGGTCCTTTCTCATCTTTTAACTGCTGCTCCTAAATGTGAACTTGAACTCGGGTATCAATGTCTGTTAGAGCTGTGTACAAAGTATATATAAACAAGTCCTAAATGCTAGAATGAGGTGCTTGTCTCTGAGCAAAATGGATGAGTTTTAGTTTATGGATATAAGGACATCTTTTTTGGCTGCTCAAAAGCCTTTTGTGCCTAATTCCTCGTTTTCTCCCATGTGTCAGAGTGGTGGTGTATACCAGTTACCTGCGGATAAGCAGGGTTACTTTGTTTTGAAGCGCTGGATGGAGGGGGCGAGGGAGGAAAGAAGAGAAGATTTAGAAAAGCACTAGGATTATTCTTGAATCTTGAGATTATATTTAATTTTTGTGGAATCTCTTTTTAAAAATCTGGTCATTGTTATTATAAAAGTAATCCATGCTTATTACAAAAAATACGAAAATAGATACGGAAAAGAAAGAAAAAATTTAACTCATAACCCCACTCTCCTAGAGACAACAGTTGATAATACTTTAGCTTGTATCCTTATAGACTCTTTATGCATAAATTTTCTGTGTGTTTTTAACACAAAAATGGGGTTATATTGAACCCCCAAAATGGGGTTATATAACTTGCAATTTTCACTTAATAATATCATAGAAAGATGTGCAGACCTATAGGGGGTTGCACAATACCTCATTTACTATTTCCCCATGCACTGCTGGTTTAGCTAATGCTGTTCCTGTATATACATATGTTTTATCCTAAAACTTTTGTAGAAATCCATCACAGTACTGACAGCACAGTCAGCCTCCATTTTCTCAGGCCACAGGTCCATACAGTGGGCACTGTGGCAAGGCTAGGCCAATGAAAGCCAGTTTGGCTGGTATCCTAGAGCAGACCATTCTCATCGCCCATGGCTCCTCCATTTCAGAGTGCCCCAGACAACTTTTGAAGGCTAATATCTGCACATCTGTGCCTGAGGACTTGTTCTGAAACCATGGAAAGCTGCTCTGTCCCTGCACACAGCAGGCCAGAAGTGCCAGGAAATCAGCACTCCCCAGAAGCAGCTCTCAGCAAGTGATGGACACAAGGTGGAGTATAAATGTACTAGCTCACTTGCTCCTTGGGTGGGAGAATTCGGAGGCACTTGTTTCACAATGTTTTTGAGAGATTTCCCATAGGAATTAAGCTTCAGTTGCTTATTAATACCACTTAAGTGTTATCTTTCTTCCCTTCCCTGTCCCCTTCTTGACTCCCCTACCTGCGTTTCCTGGAATCGTCTCCCAAATGAACTAATTGCACTGGACTCCTTGTCTCGGAGTTGCTTCTGGGGGACTTGAAACTGAGAAACATTCCATTCCATGTACTCTTGGCCATGAGCCTTGGTGGGCCTTTATACCTTCTCCTTCGGAGAAGGTGAACTCACTGATCTGCTTGTACACCCCACTGGGGTCTCTTTTCCTGCCGTGTGCTCCTGTGAACAATTTACATCCATAACAGCTGATGAACATTCTCCAAGTGATAAGGCTGGATGTGCCACAAAAGTGGAAATTTAAAACTAAGTCAGTGTTGATAGGCACCAGACTGATGGAGACAGGCGAACACTTTTAAGGAGGCGGTAAATGAACAGAAGGTGAAGAGCAGCAGTCCATCAAGGATTTCTGGTCACCTTAGAGGAAATGACCTGGAATTGCATTAACAGTAGTTGGAAGAAACTATAGCCAAAGGCATATTATGACTTTAAGAGATTTGAAAAGACTGAAACAGTGGTTGCCAGTGTCCCCATGTCATGAACACATCTCCATGATGGCGTGCTATGACAATGGCATTGGACACCCATTTCCAGAATGCCATCTCTCAAGCTTTCTCAAAGCCATCGCTATGGATATCCATAACATAATTTTATGGTTAAATAGAAGAAAGGAAACCTCCTGACATTTTTCTTTTTTTAAAAAATTATTTTAACGAGGTCATATTGATTTATAACATGGTGTAATTTCAGGTGTACGTTATTATATATTAGTTTCTGTACAGACTGCATCATGCTCACCACCAATAGTCTAGTTTTTATCCATCAGCATTATGCGCCCCTTTACCGCTTTCGCCCTCCCCCCAACCCGCTTCCCTTGTGGTAACCACTAATCTGTTCTCTTCATCCATGTGTTTATCTGGCACATATGAGTGAAATCATATGGTGTTTGTCTTTCTCTGTCTCGCTTATTTTGCTTAACATAATACCCTCAAAGTCTGTTGCAAATGGGATGATTTTGTCTTTTTTTATGGCTGAGTAGTATTCCATTGTATATATACACCACATCTTCTTTATCCATTCATCCGTTGATGGGCACTTGGGTTGCTTCCACATCTTGGCCATTGTGAATAATGCTGCAATGAACATAGGGGTGCGTAAATCTCTTTGTATTGTTGATTTGAGGTTCTTTAGATAAAAGGGTAGCTGGATCATATTGTATTTCTATTTTTAATTTTTTGAGAATTCTCCATACTGTTTTCCATAGTGGCTGCACCAGTGTGCATTCCCACCAGCAGTGTATGCACGTTCCCTTTTCTCCACATCCTCTCCAACATTTGTTGTTTTTGGTTTTGTTAATTTATAGCCATTCTGACAAGAGGAAGTGATATCTCATTGTAGTTTTGATTTGCATTTGCCTAGTAATTAGTCATGTTGAACATCTTTTCATGTACCTGTTGGCCATCTGTATATCTTCTTTAGAAAAATGTCTGTTCATATCCTCTGCCCGTTTTTTGATCAGGTTGTTTGTCTTTTGTTGTTGAGTTGTATGAGTTCTTTATATATTTTGGAAATTAACCCCTTGTTGGATATATGATTTGCAAATATTTTCTCCCAGTTGGTGGAT